ACGTGTAGGCTGGTGTTCAAGAAGCGTCTGTTCCTTGGCGAGCGGCCGCTGCAGTCAGAGTGCGTGGCGGAGATGGAACTCCTGTACTACCAGCTGCTGCACGCCATACGACACGACCGTCTGCCCATTGAGACTGATGAAGCCGTGAGTTGGCTGTTTTCTTTGAAATTTTAAGAATCAGTGGTGTATAGCTGAGTTATATTTACTCTCTGATAAATATAACGAAATATTACTTGTAGTAGTTTGAGTTAAGTTTACCTAATTGGTTATGTCATGATACTTGAGTTTAGAAACTTTCCGTTTCATTGCGATTTTTACGATGTCCCATACATTTTACTGAATTCTTTTGCACAAGGCGAGTTGCCGGTACTGGAAACTGGAATAAAATTAAGGTTAACTCGGCTGGCGACGACCCTGAATATATTAATTACTTCCTTTAGGAATGGAATGATTTAATTGGTGTCGTATTGTCCAGGTGATGGTGGCGGCGCTGCACGCGCAGGTGGTGAGCGGGGAGTGCTCAGGCGAGGGTGGTGAGGAGTGCCTGGCGGCTGCACGCGCCGTGCTGCCCCCGCGACCCACACCTCTGCCCGCGCCCGCACTGCGCCTGCATCACCTCGCACTGCGCGGCACGCCCCCGCACGCCGCCATGCAGCGCGCTCTCACACTCGCTGCATCATGGCCACTCGCACGGGCCACTGTCTTCGATGTTATGGTACTCACATTCATACTACTTTCCCAATTCCATTATGACAATTGACATACTCTGTGGTTACGTATTGATTTTTTTTAATTCCCTAGTGTGATGGCCAGAGCCTTTATTAAACTTTATGTAGTTTAAAAAACAAATTTTACATTATATATAAATAAATTACTTATTGCCGAAAATTGTAACAATTCAGAATAAAGAGAAAAAATACAAAAGTCTTCCGTATTCGCAATTCTTTGTATCATTTCACTTATTCATAGCCAAGCCACCAAAATCATTAAGCGTCTAATACTATACGCTTTAGAACCTTTTTGTATCTTTTTTTTAGCAATCGTTCACATCGAACTGGCCGCGCGCGCTGTGGCTGGCTGTGGACGCGCGCGGGCTGACGCTGCTGCGGCGCGGCTCACGTTCCGCGCTAGTGTCGCACGACCACGACCAGCTGCTGGCCGTGTCCCCCGCACCGCGCGCGCTGCTGCTCGTCACACGCGCAGACCGCAAGCACGCCAAGCTCGTCCTCTCCACTGACCAGGTTACACTCAATTACTTTATTTAATCTTTACTACAAAAAACTAAATGTCCGCTATGACGTAAAATATAATTTCCAAACACATTTTTGTAGAAATAATTGATAAAGTTAATGCCATTTATGTCAATACTAGATGTCGATGGCGAGTCCACCCGCTCGGAATTAAAAAAAAATTAGCTCATGTATTCTTCCAGACAATATTCTACATTTATTCCAAATTTTATCAAAATCGTTAAGCCGTTCTGGAGATACCTTCTAACAAACATCTATCCATTAGTAAGATGGTCCTTCGAGTCGGATATTCTAACATAAATAGTTGTACCAGGCGTACCAGATCGCGACACTAATAAAGGACTACATCGAGGCGGTGCGCGGGCCGGTGTCCCCCGCGGTGGCGGAGCCCAGCGGCGCGGGGGCACGCACCTCGTGACACCCGCACGCCTAGTGCCAGTGCTTCCACGTCCGCCGCTGAACTCCGGCGCAAGCGACACCTCACATCTCACAACTAACGCCCAACATGCCTCCACACTAACCAAAACTAAGTCAAATTCAGTACAACCTCTATAAATGGATTGGCTATAACATGTTATATTTTGTGTCTGTTTGATTTTCACCGATTCGACCTAATAATATAGATTGAATTAACTGTGTTGTAACATTAAAAGGCGGGTTTATATCGGTACAAAACAAAAGGTGTCATTTCAATCACCTATCCATTTATAGAAATTAGTATATGATTTTACACTGAAAATGTATTCACATGGTATTATTTTTGAGGTTATAAAAATGTGTGGCATGTTCGGATTAGATGTGTTGAGTCAGATCGTTCGCGTTTCGGATAAGAGATGGTATAGTTTGCAGGTAAAGTTGGAGAAGTAAATGTTGATATGATACTGTACTCTTTCAGGAGAAAATGTAACGTACAAAGTGTAAGGTTAGGTTAGGGGAAAAAAAAACAAAATTATAATAAAAGATAAATCGGATCCACATTTACTTCAAACATTGGACAGACAAGTGGTTGGTCAGGAGTGTTAGCATGGACGATATACAGTTGCCAGATGACGGGGAAGCAAAACATTAAAATAGCTCAAGATTTAAAATTAAATAAAACAGTTTAAAATATATTCCGATCTATAGAAATACAATATCAGTATTATAAATGTTAAAGGTAAATGTTATGTGGTTAATTAAACACTTTTTGTCTCATAGAGTATTAAGATTGTTAAAATATTTCTGATGTTATAGATAAATATTTAGATCCCTCTCCTAATCCCCTTAGTATGGTTAACTTAGGTCCTTATAAATGTCGACGTTTTATCAAACTTCATAAAATATAGCTGGCAGTAAATAAAATGTAGTCTTAGCCTAATTAAGATTAAAAAGTTAAAACTCCATAGATTATAGAAATATTCCAAAGACTAAGTATGAAATAGTTTCAATGAATACGAAGTAGGTAAAATGTCGGTATGGTTTTAGCCAACCCAATTTATTCGACGTAATTCCACTTTCCCGTACTTAGAATGTCTAGATGTCCTAAACTATTCCTATGTCTTACAGATTCCTATTCAATAGATTGTATAGTGTTTCGCTTTTGATGTACCGCTGTGTACTATATTTATATAGGTATATAAAAACATATAATTGTTTCGTATAGTGAACATATAACCCAGTTTTCCTATGTCCTGTATTTTTTGTGCCTTGTAAAGTTTGTTGTTGCTTTAATCATGTTAATAACTGTGGCTAGCCTAACCGTAATTTTTCATACAAAAACATATTGTTGTCTCTATTATTCTCTTTGAGAAAACTGACATGGCGATATATGTTTGTAATTAATTGAAGTATTAAATATTTTTGATCATGTTAAGAGGCTAAGGACCTGTTTTACAATGTCCAAATAAATCCTGAATAAGCTACTTGGAACATATTTGTCAAATAAAGTTATCCTTGACGTTTTACAATATACAAAGAGTTCTCAGATGCAAACTATTATGACAGGAAGTATTATCTGTCAGATTATAATTTTTTTTTTGTTAGTTATCCAGAACTTTACTTGGACAATGTGATACATGTCATCAAACAAAATAAAATCGATTTTAACAATTAAAAAAGAAATAAACAATTAAAATCGATTTAATTAATATGTAGCTAAGGCTAGTCCAGTGAGACATTGAAAGCGTCAATTCAGTGAGCAAAATATGTGCAAATCTATTGTGACTACTAAATAATTAGTAATTGTTTCAAATATATCAACTCTATCATATTGCACAATGTTATGTCTCAATATTTTATATTAAAAAATATATTTATGACTATTATTAAAAATGTAAATGTATGTAAAGCATTTCTCTTAAATTTAATTGGACAAATCTTGCGTCAATCATGAGCAAATGACGTAAATACATTTTTAAAGACTTAAGAAGTTAAAGACTCGACATTGTATAATTTAAAAAAAAACTACTCCAATCGCCCTCAATAGTCTGTCTACAATAATACTATATTCGGTTCATCTATGCCTTTTTCTTTTGTTAGAGCTCAGCTGACGAAATAACCTATACAAAATCCTATTGTCATCCCTTTCACTCTCGTTGAAAAATCGGAGACAACACTACGGTCCCTGTACAGATATTTAAGCAGCATAAGTCTTTTCGTCTCCTAAAGGTAGGCGTCCATTTGCCCGCTCCGGACGCGTCGCATGCGCGACTCGCATCGGATTCTAGTTTGCTTTGTGTGATTTCACATAGCGCTGCGTATTTATCTGTGCAAACCGCATCGAAAGCAATCCGATGCGGGCCGTGTGGTCGGTGAGTCCGGCGCGGGCCAATGGACGCGTACCTTAATATTTTTGTCACTAGCTAACTTCAGAGGGCTCAATAATATAAAATTGTATTTATGCGGCCAAATTGGTGCTTAGTTAATTGCTTTGTTTGTTCTGATCTCATATTAAGTATTATTTATTTAGATGCCATAATGTTTTTAATTACGGGCGATTTTTTTTTAATTAGGTTTTATTTATCTCTCTTTTTTTATTTGACATATGTATATAAATGGAAGAACCAAAGAATACAAATCGTCCCTTTGGATATTTTTTTAATAATTAACAATATTATATTATAATTTAATTTGATTTTTAATTTAGTTTATTGATTTTTGTATATATTTAGTTTAAACCTTAACATGAAATATGTTGGTATAGCTGGATACGGAAATATTTTATAATAATTATATTATTTAATAATTCAATTTTGGATCTTTTTATTCTACTGGACTATACTAATACATTTCAAAAAATTATTACCGTTGGCTTCTGAGATCGAATCTCTGTATAAAACGTATCATCTCGGTCATTATCTTTGACAAAACAGAGATAAAAATATTTTAAATGGGGATGTTAATCTCAGAAACCCACGATAAAATGAGCAATTGATATTTTGGCATTCGAAGAATTAATTGCAAAATGATTTTCGTATAGGCTATGACTGTTGTTTAAAAAAAAACCTTTTCCATCACAATTTAACATTATATTAAGCACTATATGTTAAGACAATATTTCTTAATTAGGTTTACTTTATTTTAGATCTAGGCCTTGTATTTATAAAACTGAAAATACTAATAAACCGATCAAACACCATACATACTGCCCAAATAGACTGAAAATGTCCAAATATTTTATCTTTTTTTTTTTGATAAATTGTTTTTGTTACAATTGTGTAATGTATTTTTAAACATTTTAATTGAATGCCAAATAAATAATAACAAATATCGTTGGTTTTATTTAAATTTTATTTTATTATTCTTATAAAATATATTAATAAATGTAAGATTCCATTTACTGCGTAACAAGACCCAAGTAGTCATCCATTAATGTTCCAATGGCAAACTGGAAAAAAAAACGTAACATTAAAATCAAGATATTCGTAATAATATCAAATAAGAATTTTACATCCTAAATGAACATTTCACCTGAAAATAATCTTTAAACCTACTTCACAAGGATTCAGCAGTGTTACCATTTATTTGTCTTGTTTCATAGGTTGACTTTTTCAACAGAAAGAGTCATGACTTTAAATTTATTGTCAATTTGTTTGTAATGAATTTACAAACCTAAACAATATAAATAAAAGCCTAAATTTCTTAATTACTTTATAAAATTGATATAATCATAATATATTCTTTGGCGGAGTTTTAGGAGAGGAAAATCACAATAAAATTATCTATTGACTCACTATGCCGCTGGCGTCAACTCGTGTACCCACAATCTTCAGTCTAATTACATCCTCTTCCTGTATTACATTGTCTTCCTGTTTACTCTTATAGCACGGGGGATTCACATTCGGACAGAACTCCATATCAGCAGGAATTGACTGGAACAGGAAAACTTTACATTATATAGTAGGAATTATTTATGTTAGTTTGAACTATTTAATTGCATTTTGTTATGTACATAATATAATTGCAAATAAATACTATATCATACTGATATAACAAAATTAAGGAAGATCATGCTGTAATTATATAAGTTTCAGGTACTCTGTGAATAGAGTCAAATGAACAAGGGGGGAGCCGCTGCACCCCTTGACATAATACCAAATACATAAATATAGGTTCTGGGTGAGAAAGATTATTATTGTTTACTTACATGATGAGATATAAAACAACTGAGAGGACCAATCTGTGCAAACAT